GACTAGCCCGGCAGATTCAGAGCAGTGAGGAGTCAATTACCAGCTTCTTGCAATCAGTCCGTGCTTGTGGACTGACTGGCTGTGAGCGTGGGGGACAGGGGGAACTTTCTCATACATGATAGAGATTTAATTACCACAGCACCCACGACTCACTTTCAGGGTAATGGAGAGACTGAGAAGTGCAAATTTCCAAGCCAGGCCCAAAAACACACACCAAAGTAAATCAGCAGCCTAAAAAATGTGCCAACGTCACACTGAATAGCTTAACTTGGTGACGCTGTTTGAATGTCACCACATGTGAAGCTGACTTCCAGATGCTGAGAAGTTAGCTCATCCTGACAGACAACACATGTGAAATGTTCCCCCATTTTTCTTCATCCAAATCCATCACAATATTCCTGTTGCAGCCTACAGTTCACTGTGGTGTTGATCTCATCAATAACCTCAATAACAAAACATAACAAGATCATTTCACTGACATTAAGAGTGGGCAAAAATGGCAAAAATATAACCCTGTATCTTGTGATTTATATGATATGCATCACAATACATAATTTTTCTGAGATTTGAAAAGAAGAGTGCCACATATAAAAGGCTATGAAAAATGACATAATAGTCAGTTACTTGTCACTATTCAGTTTACACAGTTACAGTTTGTTGGTTATAAATACTCTATAATTAGTAAAAAATTGGCTTTTTATGGTATATGTACTGGAAGTACTGAGGATACCCATTGGTAAAAAGTCAGTGACAACCCTTCATTTATTTAATTTCCAGTCAAAATGGCCATTAGGTGTAAGTTATTTATTTATATATTTATGTAAAATATATATTTAACAGAAAATTAGATATGTCTTAATAATTAGATATAATATAATTTGCCTTTGCCTTTATTACAGCTTCCACTCTTTGTTGGCGACTTGTTTTCAGTTTTTTAAGAAATCTGCAGGGATATTTTTCCACACCTCCACAGTTTAGTCAAATAGGTTGTATTTTCTGCTTCTCACAATCCAAGTAATTACAAATACATTCAGTGATGAGACGAGTTGAGGCCAGTCCATTGCTCTGAGCAGCTTCTTTGTCTGAATTTTTTGTCCAGCTTTGTCATCTATTACTTTTTCTCAGTTAGGGCTTTTTGACAGCGACACATCCTTTCAGACTCACAGTATTGAGTTGTCTCCTCACAGTTGATGGACAGCTACGGACTTGTTTTCAGATCTGAAGCAAGAGTGGAGCTTGATTTTCTCCTATCTCTCAAAGGTGAATCCTTTAAGTAGTGCTTGTCTAAGTGGTGACTTGTCTTGCATGGTTGTTAGCATCCCATTTTCCCTCTATCTTTTACTAATTTATTAAACACCAATACCAATATTCAAAGCTCTTGGAAACTCCTTTTTTCCACTTATTCCCATTTGACTTATGCAAGTGGAATATCTTATATCTGATGTTCCCAGATATCTCCAGCAAATTAAGTCAAAATTAGATTAATGAATGGTGTATATTACCATAATCATAACATATCATCATATCGCCTATTTTAATTGACAAATGACTGGACTGGACTTCTTTCTTGAATCTACTGTGATAACCAAAGACAGACCTTTAGTTTCCACTCTTTGAACAGTCTGACTTATAGTTCACACCACCAAATGGAAATTCCTAGCGCCCCTGCAACTGTAGTTGCCAAGCAAAGCTCCCCAGCTCTGTTTGCTAACAGAGATAATTAGCTGCTTAGCATCATGGCCATATCAAGTTTGTCATTTTCATTTGTATGGCCTCCAGAATATTTCCTAGGTTCTTGTCAGATTAATTGAGGCCACAGGAGTGACTCAGTTGAACAGGCTTGGTCACTGAACTGCTTCACGGTGCCACTTCAAATCAGAGGTATATGTGTGGTCTTCTTCCTATCTCTACTGGTTAACCTGATTCAAAAAAACCACAAGGCCTAGCTGTGGTGAGAGCAATGAACCTACAATACAGAAGAAACACAGCAAGCTGGTGCACTGCGTGTTTTTACCATGAAGACAATGAATTCTCTGAATACTGTGCCACGCATCCTCCATGATTACTCCATGAATCTCTGGCTTTCTTCGTCAAAGACAGGATATGATGCTGGGAGCACAAAGTGGAACATTGCTTCATCAACTGAAAACTCAAGGATTGAGTCACTCAGAGAAGTATTGCTTAGTGTTTCTCTTTTGGTTCCTTTTCTAATTTGCATTACAGTGTTCAGTGTACGTGCTGAAAAGACTATGAATGGAGCGCTTCTTCTATGTAAATCACCCAAACTCTCTGAACCATAAGTGATTCAGCAAGGTTCTTCAGGCCCTTCTGACAACACTATTTCATTGATACTGTCTGTTAGGTGTGGACAATATGGTAGAAATATAATTTCACAATACTTGGAGTTTTTTCTGATGCACAATCCATATTTGTTTAGTAAATGTTTCATAAATGTTAAGTTGTATAAAGTCTGACAAGTTGGAACAGACAACAAGAAACACATGGCACCACATTTAAAAAATACTATCAAAAACTATGTATAATAATGAGGCACCAATATGAGGATTGTGGGCCAATGCCGATATCTGATATTTTTCATGTATATCTGCTGCCGATATATAATATCTGTACGATGTAGAAATTGAGACTACATTGACTTGTATTGTACAATGACTGTATTTATTTCTGTTAAGTTACAAAATAATGTCAAATCTAAACAACCATCCGATACCGATATTTTTAAAGCAATCACCTGCCTTTATGGATTCTGATATCATAGTGCATCCCTTGTGTACAATGATATTTACACTACACTGCATTACATCCAGTTAAACAGGCCGAATTAGGACCTCTTTGTAATAAAACATGTAGTTGGTTAGTTTTCTCTAAGTAATATCTACAATATGCTAAGAAAAGCACATTGTGACATACAGCGACGTAATTAATGTGCAGTTTGTTGCAAAGTACTCTAATTACACAACTTTGGGAAATTTCAGAGTGTCAGTAGACCAGTTGAGCTATGAATTTTTCGCTCCTAGCTGCATAGTTTCCAGCATACAGTCAACACTGTGGCTTTCTAAGACCTTGAGCCAAATACTGTAGCAAATGTCCCAACATTTTAGCATGCCTTCTTAGAAGCAAGGGCACATAACACATCAACGCTGTGTCTAACAATAACATCAGTGCCACAGTCTGTCTTGAAGACCTGATTGGTCCAGCAACCCAGCCTATTTACTATAAATGCCTCAACCTTAAAGGGGTTTTTCAAAAAGTATAAGCAAATGTCTTTCAAACTTGCCAAATCAGAACAGTTCACAAAGGTGGTGATAGGAACCAGACGTCTACAGATTTTAATGCCTCTGAAATCTCCCTGACAGAAAGTTATTACATGAAATAGTTATGAATATACTGCCTGACATCTGATACATTGTTTAATGATAGATTTCTGTTAATTCTTTTAATGCTTAAAATGTATTTAATCCATTTATGGTGGAGGGATACATGCAGGGCATTGTCAGGCAAAATAGTCCCGAATGAAAACTTATTTTTTCAAATTCATGACTATTTTATCATCATCAGCGTTACATATAAAAACTCAAAAGGCACATGTAGGTTCACTGGTGGTTTTGGATAGTAAATAAAATGGCTTTATCTGTGTTGTAGACATTGTGATGTCTGGTTCCTATCACCATCACTGTAAAGAAATCAGTCTGTAAGTTTCTCTACAATAAACCATTTCACATCAAACCCTTCTGAATGACTGAATAAAATTTTGAAAAACTGGTGGGATTCCTCTTTAATGAAAAAAGTGGACAAATTTGGTGGTTTATGAGTAATCTATCATGCAACACGGCAGACAGGGAACCCGACCTGGCAGACAGGATAGCTGTGGAATGTGGAAGTCTTGACAGAGTGTGGAGACAGGTTGGGCTTATCAGATAGGACATACAAATCCACAAGAGAATTCGTCTGGGCCCCCTTCCTAACTGCCCTCTGATCATTTCTGGAGAGTCTGATGGGTTTGGAGACCGTTGTTGGGTAAGTTTAAGCCAAAGTGTCTCTCCTTAGCCACTTGTGTCCTTCTCTCTAGGCTGCAATAAACTACAAATGAGAAAGCCTGAATAAAAACAGCTGTAAATGATTCGCTTCCTGAGGCTCATACATTCCACACTGTCAGAGGTAGCAGACTGTTGAATCTGAGGAGAACTGTCAAGCAGACGTGTTCAGTTTTACTACTAATCCAACCATGTCAATAAAGAGCAAGCAGAGTTGGGCAGAATACTTTGAAAAAGTAGTGATGGCTGAATACTAAATTCAACATTATTGCCCCCAGTCGCCTGCTTCAGTCCGCTGCTGCCCCCCATAACCCTATTGCAATCTCCTGGACTAATCCAGCAATTTGCCATATCCCAATGACAAAATTTGACTATAAAGTGGTTAGACATGTGATTTTCAATCAATGGCATGTATGCAACCTGCCAAGAAATGTACACAGGTCAAGTACAACACCAATGCTAAGTTTATCACGGGTGAACATGTTCACTGCTGAGGAGACTGTTCAGCTCAGTCATCCCTCAAAGGAGTTAATACCTGACTTATCACATTGATTTATCATTCTTCTCAGGCTTTAGTAGAGTTCAGTAACACTGAGATTAATAACTGATCATCACACTGATTCATCAGTCTACTCAGGCTTTAGCAGGAACTTCTCTGTTTGCAAAGAATAAGTTCTTCCGTCACTTTACAAATATTTATTTTAAAACAGTTAATAAACAAGCACTGTTTCTTTTAAAGACTGTATATAGTTTTTAAATTCTCAAAGTATTCTCCAAAAATGTAAAAGGTAACTGTATTCTGAACACTGCCTTTATTAAATATAACTTGGACTGAATACAGATGCTTAATTTCTGTATTCTGAATTCTGTGTCCCGTTACATCCCAGTCCTGCCCACAAGCTCATATGTCTCATATGTACACACGGCCGCTATTCAAACACCTACCTCCACGACCTGAACGTAACTCGAGGGAAACCATCCTCTCACTCCATCCTTCTCTCCTTCCCACCATCCACCTGGCAAAGCCTGGATTATTTTGATCATTTCTCCAGCCTCGAACTTCAAGCCCTGCTGATGCTGCTCCCCGCTGAAGGCGTACAAACTTTTACAGAAAGATCCAGACATGGCCAACTTTTCCAGGCGCTCAGTGACAACAGGTTAGACCGTTTCTCCCCAGAAAAACACTCAAACTCGGTTTCTTGGTAATGACACACGGTAGCATTTATCACTTTAAACCTCGCCGTATTCCCACAAGTCCAGTGACGGTGTGGAGACGCCTCGTTTAAACGTGCTCCTCTGCCCACACCTCGGTGGAAAAAACAGACGACCAGCCCAACGGCTTTACTTCGCTCTCTGTGGCACAACACGGTAGTGACCCAACGACTCTACATGCATGGCACAGGCAGAAGAGACTTTCCCTGTTAATTTCTCCGCCCGCATTCAGACAAGCCCCGCCCCGTCTGCCACCGGATTGGACAGCAACTCAGACTCGCTCGCGGTTCACTCATCGAGAGGGCGGGAACAGGCAGCCAAACACAACACAGGATGACGGAATACGGGTAGGAAACAAAATAACGCGCACACGCCCCTTTCGTAGGCTTAGTACGTGTTGCTGCTCTAGCTAGCACTGCTGCCTGTCCCGTTTGTTCATCACATTGAAGGGTGGGAGGTATTTCTCAGTTAGCCTGATAACATTGGCAAATAAATAAATAAATAAATAAATAGCATATCCAGTGGGAGAAGAACTAAAGAACATTCCTTTTGGACAATCTTCAACTCCTGTCTTAGGTTATCCAGCTTATTGGGAAATCCTGCTTTGTGAAATACCCCCTTGGTATGTTTAGAAAAGTCTTTAATGTAGTAAAACTATAATAATAATGAGCAGGCTCCCTATTATACCCAACAAACATCAGATTTACATACTTTTTCATTATTGTTGGGTATGTGTGATTTTTAGCAATTAAAAATATTATGGTTTATTCACCTTTTCAAAACATTATTTTATATAATCAAAATTTATTTACATGTATATGTGCGTAAATCTCAATTACACAGGACTTAAAGAAAATGTGCTTGGGCCACTAGATGGCAGTGGTTCATCACTCTCCGGTTTTAGGCCAACTGATGCAGCTGCTGTGAAGTGAAGCTGCCACCCGTCCAAACATTTAAGATGGTTCTTTAAGGATTCTTTAGTAAAGGCAATAGTTCTATTTAGAACCATGAGCTCCATATAGAACCATTCCATGCTTAAATGGTTCTTTGCGTGGTGAAATGGTTCTTCAGATTGATGGAGAATGTGTTGTATATGGTTCTGTATAGAACCTTTTCGAAAATGCTTGACATCGTGACAATAGCAGAACCCTCTCTGGTGCTATATAAAACCACTTTCAAAAAGGTTCCATACAGAAGCATATACAACACATTCTCCATCAATCTGAAGAATCATTTCACCACGCAAAGAATCATTTAAGCATGGTTCTATATAGAGTTCCTTGTTCTAAAAAGAACCATTGCATTTGCTAAAGAACACTTGAAGAACCTTCTTTTTAAGTGTGCAAATTGTTTCCATTCCTGGACACAAAATCTCCCAGAATCCAAGCATTTTTATACAGCCGAATGCAAAGGTTTGGGTGCTTCTGGTCAAATAACAGTGAGAATAAGTAAATTAAACACATTCACTACAGAGAACTCTCTTCTGCACATTTTAATATCTAATTACTGTTTATTTGCTGAATTAAACATGTTGGGGAAAAATTAAAACATAACATGTGGCCTGTGCAAAAGTTATGGCACATTTTATATTTTATGTTTTTTTCCCCAAGGTATTAAACTGAGCAAATACACAGAAATTCTGTATTATAATTATCAGGCAAATGCCATATTTGTTTCCTGCAGAGGACATGTTAAATCATTTTCACTTCAATCAGGAAAACATGTTATTTAACAGGGGGTGTTCAAACTATTTTATACGACTGTACGTTAGCATTTCTTATGAAGTTTAAATTAATTATTTTCATCCAGCGGAGCCATTGTATACAAAGAATGGGTTTGATTTGCTCAGATTACTGTTAATGGAGGGATAAGTGTTTGTGAAAGGTGCACTGCTGGTGACATGTTTAGGCACTAGGCAGGACTTCAACACTCTAAGAAGACTGGGTTCACCTGACATCTACCTACCTTAGACTGCATAAATTCATCCACTGAATTTAGTGAAAATCAAGGAACTAATCAAATATCCAGAATTGTACAAGGCTGAAGTGGGAACCCTCAGGTGAGGTGACATGGCTTTAGGGTAGTTCAATTCCAGAAATACGGGAGTGTCTGGATACTGGATGGAGTTGATTCCAAGAATCAATCAGTTCTATTCCAGAAACGAAGACATAGGGAAGGATATCTGGCAAAATAAGAAGCGCAACATTAATTACATTTATAATACGCCATTACTATTTATGTTATGAATGACAAAGGGTCTCAACATATTAATTTCATGTGCTACTACCTCAGTTGTTCCTCAGGGACACAGAATGTCATTTTAATTAATTGACCTATTAGATCTTAGCAAGGTCTGTCAACTACTTTGAGAGAGTAGACATTGCTTCATTGTAAATCAAACACGACTTGGCCTGTAGTGAGATGTGAAGCTGAATGGCTTATTAGATATTAGCAAGACAATTTGGGGATCTAATTCTAGCAAAATTAACTTAACTAACTGATAGCTAAACTGTTACGTTTCCTGATTCCCCCATGCCAACTTCTTGGTGTTTCAGCACTGGCAGAGATGTTGGATTGTAAGCAACTTTTTTGTTACTAATTGAACATTTAGGTAGGTAAAATACAATCAATCTATTGATGCGTGTGTTGTGACTGGAGAGTGATAGCAGAATATCATACGCTCTGTGAGCATGTAGATGTGGCAGCTTTGAATATCATTGTATAGAATCAAAGCTCAATTCCCAATTGCCTGGCTTCTGAGTCTCCACAGAGGACAATTATTAGCAGTTCAGAAGTATAATATGAAAATCTGTGAGTCTACGAGTTCAGAGGTGGTTAACCAAAATCCTTCTGTTCGTATACAAGCACTTCCTGTTCAGCCGTGCCTGTTGAAGGTTTGGTACTACATGACAGGTTTGGTATTTTGCTATTAAATAGAATCCCCAGATGTTACATCAGTCTCAAAGACGCAACCCCATAATGAGTTACGAGCACTTTCAGTACTTTGTGTAGAGGATTACATCATTCATTTTATTATTTTTTGCCTTGTGGCATGTGTTCTTTGTGGGAAAAAAAGACCTCACAGGTGGTTTATGCTTGGCTTACATTTTAATGGATTACTGATTTACTGATCTACCTCAGCTATTCATGCACAGGGCGGAAGTGATTATCCACTTCACAGTCTTCTACTCAGATTCAGCAGCCTGTGAAATAAATTTAAAAGGAACCATATTACCATGTCTGTGTTTATCAGGCTTTACGAGATTTTGCATTTAAATCAACAAAACCTTACCTATCCAACATCACGGTTCTTGGCTCTCAGCTTGCTGACAAGTGTCTCGGCAATGTCAGCCCACTCCTCAGCATTCTCCAGCTCGTGCTGCACCTTCTTCAGTTTGGACAGGTGAGTGTTGGCCTGCTCTTCCTGTGGAAGTGCACAAAACAGATGAATTACATTCACATTTGTGCATCGTGCTGTATTTACATAATGTTTTTAGTGCTTATTTATCTGCTTACTGATTTTATATTTATTTCTCAAAGACACTTACAGCTTCTTCTGCCTGTTGCTTGTAGGCCCCCACTTTTAGTTCAAGTTTATCGACCAGATCTTGGAGCCTTAAGGCATTCTTTCTGTCCTCCTCAGTCTGTTGATAAAAATATTACTCAAATATGATGTACATTTCCATTTAATCAGCCGAAATAAAAAATAATAATCATATTAACACTACTTATAATTGTATTAAGAAGCTCGGTTAAAAATAAAGGTTTCAAAAATGCGATTTGGAGACATTTTAGACAACTTCTATTTCCCAAATGATCCTTCCAATGAATAGTTCTTTAAAAATCATCTGTTTAAATGATTTATGTGAGTGTGAAGAACTGTAAATATTAAAAAACCTCCACATAATGTAAAGGTTCTATGGTAATTAATGTTTCTAGAACAAAACGTTCAAACTAAGAACTGTTTATATATGACAGAATGTGAGGTAAATTCTGAACCAACCTGATAGATGAGCTCCTTAACTCTTTTCTCGTATTTCTGACACTTTTAACAGCATCTGTGCCACGCCTCTGTTCAGCATCAAGCTCATTCTCCAGTTCACAGACCTGCAAACAAAGAGAGGAAACACAGGAAGCCTTCTGTAACTGATCCAGCATGTTCTCGTATTAGTCTAAAAACACCTACAGTAGTGTGAAAAATTTTCCACCCATCATTTGATTTATTTCCAGTCAAAACATCCATTAAGTACAAGTTATTCACTTTTCAGGAGATATTTAAATTATTCACCTGCGTAAGGAAGAGAAAGTCAAAGAAAAGAAGTGTAACATCAGAGAAGAAACTGAGAAGAAACTCAAGTCCCACTCTTGCTTCAGATCTGAAAGTTGTGAGATGAAAACTCAACACTTTGGGTCTGAAAGGATGTGCATCTGTCAAGAAGCTCTGACTGAGGTAAGAAAATAGTCAAAAGAAGAAAATCTGCAAATCAAACAAAGAAGCTGCTGGTGTTCTCAGAACAATAAAGCTGAGACTACTTGGATTGTGAAGAGCTTAACTTAATGGTCATTTTGAGTGGGAATTAACTAAATGAAGAGTGACATTTGCACAGTTCTGTAGCTCTCCTGTGTCCAGCAGTTCGTACCCTGGCCTCTAGTTTCTGGAGCTGTTTCTTTCCTCCCTTCATGGCCAGGTTTTCAGCTTCATCCAGATAGTGCCTTAACCGATGCCTCCAGGTTCTTCTTCATCCTCTCCAGGTGACCACTGGTGTCCTGCTCTTTCTTCAGCTCCTCTGCCATCATAGCAGCCTGGATTTACATTTGAAAATAACATATAACTTTTTTACTTTTTTACTATTGTTTTTAGTGTTATTCTTATATCTTCTATTTTTTTTCTATTTTTTTTTCTAAGATTATATTAAGATTATATTTGGTGAATGGAGGAACAGCAAAGTAAGAATGTCATTGTACAGTGCAACTGCCTGTTTCTGCTGTGCATATGACGATAAAACGCTTGAATCTTGAATCTATGAGTGAATAGCAACAAGGCTATAGAATGTATTGTTTGTTATTCATCAAGCTGTAATTGACTTTTGCAGTACTCATATCACAGAAGGCTGCAAAATGCAGATCACAAATGTTTTACTGTGTGCTGTGAACATCCTGACCACTCATAGATGATCAAGACATTCACATGATCTAACAAA